CGCCGTGCGCTGCAGCCGTGGAGTCGACGGACGCTGCAAGTTGTCGCCGTAAAATGGGAGGGGTGCTGGCGGCTGAAACAAGAAAGGGAGAAGGTGAAGAAAGGAAATGGCCTAGGTTCCCCGTTTTAATTTGTTTTCTTTAATTTTATGGATCAACTCCATAGTCAAAATAAATAGCGTTTTAAAAAAACTGCCGATATTTTAGAGATACATGCCTTAACCATGTGAGCTATGTTCAGTTTAAAAAAAATCAGCAAAACATATTGATATTGAATATTGTTTAAATGGCTAAATGATATATTTTAGACAAATATATCCGTGCTTAATTTAGGGATTTTATTTGGTAAAACGTAAAAAAATATAAATAATCAAATTTCAACAATTAAAATCTAATTTAAAAAAATTATATTTTGAGAGTAGATAAATAAAAATTTATTCAAAATTTGACTAACCTTTAAAATTATCTAAAATCTAAAACCTAAAATCTAAAATTTAAAATTTCTAGGTGGGAGGGGTAAATATGTGTAATGGGTCCATACAACTATGAAATAAAATAAAATCAAACATACCTTGTCACGTGAAGTCGTCTTGTCAAACGGTAATCGCTTTAGTAACATATGCACACTGTATATATCAATAGATACACATATAATTACTAGTGAGTTGATGGTGAGTTGTGGTCTACACTTCATTTACGAGGTCAATGTCAATATTTTCAATGGTCTGTGTCACACTTTCTTTTATTCATTGATGGTGAGTTGTGGTCTACACTGGAGACGCACTTCCATTTATTGGGTAAATGTCAGTATCTATAGTAGTCTGCACTGGGTCAATGTGTCTACGGTGGTCTGCATTGGGTGTCACACTTCCATTTCTAAGTCAATGTCAATATTTACAGTGATCTGTACTAGTGTTGCATTGTCATTTTGGGATAAATGTTGGTATCTACAAAGGCAATACCTATAACCTCTTCCACAACTATCTTCTTCCTATGATTTGTGACCACAATCGTGACTTATAATAAAAAAGTTGAGGCGAAAAGAGGGGAAAAGTAATTTCAGGGGCTAAGTTGCACACTTCAACAAGAATGAGAAGGCGGGAGAGAGAAACAAATAGAAAGAAAAATGAATAAGACTAAAAGAAAAGCAAACACAAAGAAATTGAATAAGACTAACTCAGTTAATACCCAAGCCAAGGGTAGTAGATACCATGAATCTTTTGCAATCATGACAATGTCTAATGTGTAGGAAACTACAGATACTAAAACAGATTTAACAGATTTATGGTCTGAGTGATTTGTTTTGGTCTCAATTACAATCATATAGAAATGCAATTAGTATAGAATTCATTATTGTCGAGGGGAGAGCTTGGAAGGATAAGACTTAATTCATCGTTGTAGTGAAGAGCTTGTAAGATACAATTGGTTGTTGCAGAGGTGAAAGACATGAGAGATCACCTTAAGACTAAAATTTAAAAACTACAGATATAAAATCAAATCAATTAAATCCTTTAAATATGAGAAACAAATCAACGTTAGGTGGTTTCAAATGAGTAGGGAAAAAAATAGATTTAAGGGCAAAGTTGGAAAATCATCAAATATTTAAATATCGTGAAATGTAGTTTAGCTCAAAATGTGATACTATTGGCCATTTTTTAAAATGGGTGTCCAATCAATTTTAGCCATTCACTTAAATTACCCTAATTTTATTTTCTTTTATAAAAAAGGAATGGGCCCAGATAAATCAAAACAAATAAGAATGAATTAAAGCTCTTGTAAATGAGTTGGGATTTTCCTAGTTTTTTTTTTCAAAATAAAACTCACTTCAACACGGATTTGAGAAAAATAAATTAAGAGGTTAACTTAGGCTTGAAACCCAATAATACAATTTCAAAGCGAAATTAAATTTCCAAATACTTGGAACAGGATTTAACTTACGAAATTAAACTTAATTATAGTTTACCCAAAATTAGAACTTCACACTAGAAATCCAAGAATTTAATTACTAAGGAAAAGTCCAAAGGCCCAATTTAAATCTAAATATAAAAATAACTCGAAAACTCGAGGCGTTACAGAGACTTGAGAGTTAGATTCAAAATGGGGAAGATGAGAAAAGAAAACCTAACTTAGAATGAAGGGCTAGGATTAAATCTTAATGGATGACTAAGATTGAAGATTAAAAGAAACTATTGTATATTTATAATTTAAAATATATATATAGAGAGAGGCATTATTTGGGTCGGGTCGGGTTGACCCGAATTTTCTAAGGTCGAACCCGAGACCCGACTCGACCCGATTGGGTTGAGGATTTCTCTACGCACTCCGAACCAAGGATTAATTGAACCCAACCCAACTCGGGTTGGGTTAACGAATTGTCGGGTTTTCTAAACACCCCTAATCTTACTTACACGAACAAATACGAGTTGTCGGGTTAATCGAATTGTCGGGTTTTCTACAACTTAGCACTGAATTTGTTCTGATGGATCTAGGAAACCTCAAGTTCTTTCTAGGCATTGACGTACAACCTACCACTCAAGTTGTACATCTCACTCAAACTAAATACACTCGAGAAGTACTGCACAAGGCTCAAATGTCGAAAAGGTGCTCATATTGCCACTCTCATGGCAACCTCAATCCCAAATCTTATAATGATGAGAAATTAGTGGATCCTACAACCTATAGAAGTTTAGTTCGATCATTACAATATCTCACTCTCACAAGACCACACATCGTTCAAGCTGTTAACAAGGTGTGCCAACAATTGCAAGAACCACAACTCCAACACTGGTGAGCGGTAAAGAGGATACTTCATTGCATAAAAGGGACAATGACATCAATAGATCCTTTTCACAAAATAGCTCTAATAGTTTATATGCTTTCTGTGATGAAGGCAGGGGGATGTCCAGTCAAAAGAAGAAGCACTACAGGTGTCCGTGAGTTCCCTGGATCAAATATAATCTTCTGATCCTCAAAGAAACAACCTACCGTGTCACAATCCAGCTCGGAAGCTAAATATTAAGCAATAGCGAACACAACAACAGAATTAACATGGATATCCTTTTTACTTAAATAA